AAGGCAAAATAATTACTAATACTCTACAATCTTAGTTACTATATGTTAATAAATAGTATAACCAATATAATTTTGCATTTAACTCTTCTAATTTCTCATTTGGGCTTAGTTAGGTTTCTCCAATCTAAAAAATACAGTAATATCTCTATATTAATAAGCTAATAAGTAACTGCAAGACTGTTGCCAGACTCTTGCGCAAGACCAAGACCATGACCAAGACTGAGTTTGTAAGACCGAAACTCATCCCGGTCTCTCATTTGGGTAACACTAACTCTGAGTAGCATTTGCCCAACTCAGCCGTGGTAACAAAGTATTCTATTCCACTAAAGCAATGCTTAACTGCTAAAAGTCGAATTTTCACCGTAAGTTTTACCTTATGGTTGTATCCACAACACCTGAATATTTAAAATTGTAAAAAAAAGAAAGAAATGTTAGACATTCGTAAATCTTATATATTATTATTGGCACCGGCCGATAGATGTTGCCTTTCTGATAGGATCAAATTGTAACTTTTATTGAACAAAACTTCATAAATTTTAAAAGTAAAGATAATCCCTAACAGTGTCTAGGATTTTCCAATTTACAAAAAGAAAGAATAATGCGATATTTTTATTTTTATTCAAAAGAAGTATAATTTTTGTTTTCTTGTTCATTAAATTTGTTTTTTTATGAATTTTCACGGTTTTTATTAACAATAATCGTCGATGTGAACGTTAAGCTCAGTTGCCTCATGATAAAGCCACTGGGAGAAAAAGGTTTTGACAAGAGAAATAAAAGATGGATCTATATTGTGTATAGTTCTTGCAGGTTATCGGTGGAAAGTGTGTGCTAATAGTGACAAGATTTGAGAAAACCGAAGAAGGAAAAATCACAAAAAATGTTTAAATTTATATTTTAACATTTGACATAATAAAAATTATATCAATTTACTTTTAACTGTATTGAAATAACCTATGTAACTGTTTAATATATTAAGATGATAAAATTTTCACTGAAGCCCGTCCATGCAACTATAAATTTCTTAAAAGCCTAATGCTATTCGAGTTATGTTAAACATGAGGGATTAGTTAACGCCGGTCTATAAATGACCTTGCCATAAATGGCTGTATAAATGATTAGTACCTGTATAGTTAGCTAGCTAATAGAATGTGCTACAATATTTTATTATAATGAATTAGCATAAAAACTCCATCAAAGTTTATTTCATTAATAAACATTGTGATTGGGAAACAGGACGATACCAAACCAAGAAGTGTACTTTGGCAATATCCATAAGATGAACGAAATCATACTAACAATTTTACGAAATTGAAAATTACTTACAAGTTATTAAATGTTTAAAGATGTTGTACAAGGAATCTCCATCAGTATCCACGACTAAAAACAAGACATGACTGCATTTGTTTTCACTTCTACTTTACGTGACTGTTTGAATAACAAAAATATTCAATAGCACATCCTCTGATTATCATTTGTTGATTTCTGATTTTTTTGTTTAGAAAACTATTTTATAATATCGCAAGGATAGTTATATAATATCATATGAACATATTTCCACGTCAATTTTCTTCAATACAGGTATGTTATAAATCAACTTTTTTGTTTTAAAGTAATTTTATTTCAAATTCGGAACAATTGAATTGACACAAGAATTCAGCGGGTTTACCGAAGGTGGTTGGAAGGAAGATAATCATAAAAATTTTCTCTGACATCTTCCCATTTTCTCATGCTTAATTTATAAGTCCATGCTGTAAACAAAACTAGTGTAAAAAAATTCAGTGGTGATATCAAAGTTTCCATTCTAGGCGAAGAATTGTTACAAAACAAGTCACACAGTTTTCTAGCAATCCATTGGTTTAGACGAGGCTTGAGAGATTAGTGAAATAAAACACACCTTATACAAGAATAAATTTTAGATAAAAAAAATATTTTAAATTACTTTAGTAATTTACAATTGTAAATATTATACATTAAGAAAACATATTGAAAAGAGAAAAATTACCCAAAGAAATCTGTTATGAAGATTATCTAACAACGATATGTTGTCATGTTTTTTATTTTTAAGAATATTCTTATTAGAAAAAATACGTTTATTTGGGTGTATAATTTATTATATATGAGATCATTTATATGGGGTGAACTCAATAATATATGCGTTCGCTGATATATATTTTATTTCCAATAATAAGTAAAATTGTAAAGAATATGAATGATTTAAGGTATTGTGATTATATATGAAATTAGTTCCCATACTGTCCATATAAGTTAAAATACCTTAATTCCAACTCTTTTGTTATTTTGCTACTTGATTTAAAATATTTATAATTTTTTGAAAATCTTAATTTCATTGTCATAAATCATAACTGTAATGTTAGTTCTGATATTGTAATATTGGTACTAATTTTATTTTCGATGATGGGCTCAATAAATACAAAGAAGTATTGAGGAATGTTTTTTGAGAAACTAGTGATTAAAGTTACTGTTTCAATGATGAAAAGGGTTTTTTAAAATTTTAATTTTTTATTTTTTTGGTCTTCCCCTTCCTCGCCTTTAAGCTATGCGGGGTTTGCCCTTGCCCTACAGGGGGTGTGGACGGGGATTTAAAACACTCCTTCGGCACCGGAACGCGAACTCGTGACTATTTTAAATCCATTCTCTGATATATCAGGTGCTGTGCACACACGTTAGCCCGTTCGGCCAACCCGCCCAATAATGAAAGGGACTATCAGGAAGTCTAACACGGCCGTTGTACTTAGATAAGAACTTTTTGTTGGAAATTTGTTCTAGAATTACCCTCCTCCTCAGAGTTTAAATTAATAATTGAGATACCATGTGTATGCATTATCACAAAGTTTGAATACCAAAAGCTTTCAAATAATCAAAGTTTTAGGAAATGAAGCATGGCGACCTTATTTGTTCAAAATATGTTCATAGGAGAAGGACGCTATGTAATGGAGTAGCATTCCTGCATACAATGGTATTATAACATATGATCCCGTATCAATATAGCATCAACGTATAAACCACAATCTAAATGTTAACATATTTTCACTTTTGAACTGATATACTGATATTGACACTTGAGAAACTGATATGAGGGAGTTAAGGAAGGAATGATGATATATGTTCAAATGGACGTTGGGACCTGAAGCTCAATTTAAGTACCTACGAAGCTGGGTGAATATGACAGAAACATCAGCCATGGATATTGAAAAGATGCAAGGGGAAAATAATCAGCAAGACCTTAAATTCGGTTCTGTGGAGTAAATAAGTATTCTTAATTCGTTCCTGTAAAGAGTGAATCTGTATTCAGCCGAATCGTAGACAATTAAAGAGAGTCAATCAAAAAGATTACTAGTTCTATAAATCGACTATTAGAGGCGATTAGCGTTGCCCAAAATCGGTTTTGGTCTTGCACTTTGCAAGACCAAGAACAGGGCTATTAAAAAATAGATTTTTAAAATAAAAATTAAGGCAAAATAGTTACTAATACTTGACAATATTAGTTACTATACGTTAATAATTGGTATAACCAATGCACTTTAGCATTTAACTCCTCTAATTTTTCATTCGTGCTTAGTTAGCTTTCTCCTATCTAAAAAATTACAGAAATATTTCTATAGTAATAACCTAATTAACTGCAAGACTGTTGCAAGAGTCTTGCGCAAGACCAAGACCATGACCAAGACTGAGTTTGCAAGACCAAGACTCGTCTCGGTCTCGCATTTGGACAACACCAGAGGCGATCATGTAGTGTCTAAAAAGCTTCAACGGCGAAATAAGAAAACGAGTGGAACAAATGAACAACATCCTCGATACCATTGAAACTATGAGGCTGAAGTGGTATGGACATGTTGAATGATGGAGACAGAAGAGGTGCGATGGCCTAAGCGAAGGCGTAAGAATGGTCATCCGAGGAGAGCCTAGTAAGAGGGAGTTAAGGAAGGAATGATGAACAGGGTAATGAGTGAAGACGATTGGCAGGACAGAATTAGATGGTAAAGAGTTCATTTTGGTGATGAAATATAACCAGTGTTGTAAAAGTCGTTAAATAACAATAAACATATATTTTAAAAAGTTAATTTTTAGTAGCAGAATACATTATGTACAAAGGCTAATTACATAGGATAGAACTGCTTCCAGTTTTCCGATGGACTATTAACTAATTAAAATTGTTTACACCGTTTCTTGTTGTTTATTATTGTACGAAGATCTTATTTGAAGAAATTATCTGGATGAAATTCCAAGAAACGGATCAGTTTTAGATACTAAGTTCAGGACAGCAATAAACATGCCCTAGAGGAGCAAGTATTTGCACGAAGTGCCTATAGAATATTTAAAATAACAGACAGCTTAGATGAGCTGGAATGCTGTATATTTCTCATAAGAATAGTATTTACATATTTTGTTCGATTATAAATAATAGTGTTCGCCCAGTGGTCGAAATTCGACCATAGCCATAAAATTTTGAGGAAAAGATATAATTAAATAAAAAATAAATAAAGAGTAAATCACGATTCAAAAATCCTCATTTATTAATACAAACAAAATTTCAATTTCAATTAAAAATCGAGCTTAAGTCATTTAAAATTATTTATAAGTAATACAAAATAGACTCATTCAAAAATGTTTAATTGTCATTTTAATTTATGTGTGTTATTATCACAATAAATTAATGTTATGATTAAGCAATTTAAATTCACTTTAAATCCATTTTTATTCAGAACTTCTATGTAAATAATGTTCCGTTATTGTTTAGTGCATAGCCATGCCCATTGCCATTAAAAATATGGCAAATTATGCCATTAAAATGGGAAATTATTGGATGTCACAATAATACACACAGTTTTCCAAAACTTTTATCCTGCGATTTGATTATGGTCATAGCAAATGCAGCTATAAATAGGAACGTTGTTCATTGAAAGTCCAATGTAAGTATAGTGTCAGAAAATCATAATTAATTCTTCGAATTAAAATTATTTAAATTAAAGTAGACCCCGTTAATACTTCAGTCTCATTCCTGTTCCATTAACTAATGCTTGTGTAGTATTTAAGTTAACAATGAGTATAACAATAAAATATATTTTTAAATTTAATTTATGAGGTATCATTCCACTAACATTAAATGATAATATCTCTTCAAATAATACAACCAATTACCTCAGTAAATTAAAAGGTTTCGATTTATCAAAAAAATAAAATAAAAGAAATCGAATTTGGAAGGGAAAGTAAAAGTACTAAATATTTAAAATGATATATCTCTGCAACAAATAGTCCGATTTCGATGATTTTTTTTTTTCATTTTGTAGGAAATCGAATAAATACTGGTATTATCAATATAAAAATGTCGCAAATAAAATACTGAATACATCATAAAAATGTATGCAGCTTGTTTTCGGTAAAATATGATATATACATAAATTATAAAGGTTTCAAGGGGAAGACTTTAGCCAAGTTTCATTGAAATCGTTGAAGCCGTATTGGCGCTACAGTCTAAAGCGAATCAGGTTTTTTGGCCGCCATTTCGAAAGGAAAGGCCCGATGATAATGAAACGTATACAAAAAAAAACTTCTAAATATTATTGCGACGTTGTGTCAAAATTTAAAAAAAATCGATGAAGAACATTCGGAGATGAGCCGTTTTGAACAAACTACCATTTATATTTTTATTCACATACTATTTAATATTTTTATTTATTGATAACACTAAAGCTCGTCAATATCTATTAGACAAAAAAAGAAGGAAGAAAATCGGTTGAATAATAGAGGAGTAAAAGGGGCTAAACCGAATTGTGTTTGCCTATTTATATAATGATATGAATTAATGATTTCATTAACAATCTAGATCGGTCGTTAGTGTCCAGTCATAATATTCCAACGTAAATTACAGAAGCGGATGGTTCTTGAGTGAAATATCAATGAATGTAATAATAACCAATTTATTCTTTTTAAGAGAAAAATCTGTGCCCTTGAGGGAAAAAAAAAGAATTAGGTATTTCATGTTATTAATTATTGAAAACTCTGTCCTTGTCCAATGAGAATATCTGTACATGTAAATGTATGATAAATATTAAATGCTGTCAAAAATTGAGTGAAAGAGAGAAATTAAACTAAACTAAAGAAGCATTAAACTATACTTAAGAAGCATATCGATAGCTAAAAGAACAACTATTAGTTCTATTTTTTTTTTTTAAATTTCCCTTTTACAGCGTGGAATAATATCTTGGAGTTGAGTTATTGTTGTAGAAACGTTCTACATTTTTATTGTTAGTAAAAAAAAAAAATGTTTTTTATATAATTTGAAATATGTCTATCACGACAAAATATAAAGATAATATAGCAAATATTAGATTATTTTAAACTCCATTTTATTTAGAAGGATTTGCAGCTTTCAAACTTTTCAAACTCGTACTTAAAGAAGCATGTTTGGACTTTCAATGATTTTAGTTTTAGCAATCGATATGTTGTCAGAGGTTTCCTAAAAAAAAATGTACGAGTGGGACTGGTTAATCTGATCAATCCGAAACTAGATTCGGAGCTCGAGGTCGAGATAATAAATAAAAAAACGTTGTTAGAGGATCATCCGAGTAATAAAAAAAAAAATTAAAAAAAGGGAAAAATAGAAAACTACTTATAGGTTATTCATGAGTGCTGATGTGTTTTTTTTTTAATTTTTATTTTGCAACAAATCACATGTGTTCGACACACTGGCAAATAATGATATACGTTCTAAAAAAATAGGATTTACAAACAAACTAGGATAGGACATGCTGCCACGATATGGTGACATCCACAGTCGCTCATAGAAATTTTAATTGGATCGCTTTATAGGGACTTGATGAAATCATTTGCTTTCACGGTATGAAGCTGTCTTGGAACTGACATACTTTCCCGTTTTACAAATACGGAACAAATAGAAAGATACAATTCATGAAACGATGGTATATATCGAGGAGTCCGTTAATTTTACTGGATCAAACTATAGCAAAATATTAATTTATAAGAATATCTAACTGAAAAGAATGCTGTATATATATTTTTTCCTAACCCATATTTTAATATAAGGGAACAAAATGCTATGATAAAGCCAGTCTAATATATTGCTGAGATACCTGGACATTAACCAAAACATTAGAAAAAGTATTGAAAGATTTGAGTGAAACCCTCCGCCCGATAACCGTAGCGATCTGGGATTAGAGTACTAATATATGGAAAAGAATTGCCAATAAAGAATGTAGCTTACAGAAACTGGTCAACCAATTTCTCATAATATGAAGGCACGGACGTCAAGATGGGTGTGGCATGTAGCTCGCATCAATCCATCTGGAAGCCTCTACGTAATAATGAACGCCGCAATAGAAGGCAAAATACCACGTGGAAGGGCAAAAAGCAGATGGATAGATAGAATCAACAAAGATGAAATAGAGCTGGGTGCATATAAATGGATAGAAATAGTTTAAGAAAGGCAGAGATAGCAAACGCTGGTTTAGGTGGCAAGAGATCTACAAGGCTTATAATACCATAAAAAACAAATACTTTTTTTCTGGGAAGTTGTATGATATTATTTGTTATTTAGCAATGATTACTTCCAATTAACAACAATTGAATTTATTTTTTGTATTATCAAATTGATTTTTACAAGTTAATTTTTATAAATTTCTGGATATTTACTCCCATCTTCAGAACCACATTCCCAATGATCTTGTGCATACATAGCTAAAAAAATTGAGTTAAAATATACTGCATGTTACAATAAATGTCAGAATTGGTATGTTACAATAAATTTGTTATTACCTTAAATCTAATGTGCTCCACCGTCACTTATTGTAACAATCCAATGCTGACATGTATTGTAACATGCACTATATTTTAACTCAAACGTTAACTTGTAAACATAACAATTTGATAATACAAAAAATAAATTCAATTGTTGTTAATTGGAAGTAATCATTGCCGAATAACAAAAAAAAACAACAACAACAATATTTAAACAATTGAAAACCATTCTTTACCCTCATTCGAGATTTCTGAGATATATGATGGTAGTTTTGAAAATCATTTTCGTCGATCCTTGTGGATTATCACATAGAAAAAAAATAAATAAAAAAACTCATGAAGGGTTATGGATTCAGTACTATGTGAGGAAGTACTGTTACAAGGCCAACGGTTGCACAGGGAGGTGATGAGGCCGATATCACGCTCAACCGCCAGGTTTTTCCCCTTTATTATTTTTTTTTATTTAAGGGTACCCACTTTATAGAGGCTGGGTGTGCCCTAGGAGGGTCTCCCGACCCTAGGATCGATCCACGTGCTAATGAAAAATTACTAGTCATCAGGCGGATTCGAACCTTGAGCTCTGAAAGTCAGTATGAGTTACCCCGTTGCCGTGGATAGCACATACAAATCTGAAATATTATACTGAAATATAGCAAATATTTTTTTTTAAACTTCAAACTACCGTTTGATGTATAACCGCGCTGGCGTTGGAAACGAGAGACGCTTATCTACGACTAAAGCTCCAGATTGCATGCCTTCTAGTTATCATAATCGCCGGCTGAGTAGAAGATATCATCGTTTATTATTTCAGCCTCGCCATTTCCGCCCCGCTATAATGGCACTGAATTATGGCGATTTAGTCGCCTACCTACTCCTCTTGATACCTCCTTGTTACCGTGGAACTCTCACTACAGAGGATTTAGGCATTGATCAGGGTATTTCCGAAAATGGCGTCATATATTTAAGAATATTCTTCAATTTATTTTCATTTGACTGTATATGAAATATATAGTAAGGAAAATTATTGTCATCATGAAAAAATATCAAATCCAAGTTTTCGACAGAAGTACACGTTTTGAGTCAAAATGATTAGGTACCACACAAATGGTCCTTGTCTTTACACAAACCTGCAACGAAATGCCATACGGATCTGATGTTGTATATTTAACGTTTCGCTTCTAGAAACGGAAGGCGGAGTGGTGCCCATATTTGAAATGTCGACTTTATCCTGAGATACAACCTGCAGTAAATAAGTACGAAACAATTACTGCTACAACATATAATAATGGGTTGATTAAACGTCTTTTATACATAAGTTTATTTATGTTTTGCATTCAAGATTTGTTGTGAAGTAAGGTGTAATAATGTGGGTAAAGTAATCTGCAGGACATATTTCATGGTATTACCGAAGCGTAGGCCGGAGTAGCCATTGTTTGTGGGGGCCCAATGTTGTCATCGTTGATCAGGTTGTCCTTGCTCAGGATTTGCTGTTAGTTCCAGGGCGGATTTGACCAGCAGGTGTAATTGTTATTTTTCTTTTCTGAATCAACAAGTATGATATCTCCCTCTCCATATTTCACACTCTCATATTCAAATATTGTTCCTGTCACCGTATACGTGGCCGAAATGGCTTTGTGTCAGGAATGAAAAGCTGCTACAGACCTGGAGATAAATATAATTTAAGATGGGAGACAGAGGCAAGGGTTGCGAAACGCCTAGGAGGAGGTCACTGCCCATATAGGGGGCTAGGGATATAGGACGTCCGATCTTACTCACACCGTCTGGTCAGTCCTTATAGATTGTTTATCTGTATAAATTGTAATATATGAATCGTTTGTTTCCAAAGTGACGCTAATCATCTCTGACATATTTTAAGGAATCCAAAAATTATATGTTTTATTCCAATTGTGGTCTCAAAACCAATATTTGAAAGATATTTATTTATAGCACATATTTTAGAAAATTCATGTTTGTTTCTATAATGATTACGAAAAAACATTGAAAATTAAATATAGCCGCTTTGGAAAATAATTAAACGTCAAGAAATAAAGGTTGCTTTGGGTTCGCTTCGGAAAAAAAAAAATAGCGTATGATTTTTAGGGGGAGTGAAGTTATCAAAATTGTACTATAAAAAAAAAATCACAATAATAGTATAATGAAATTAATTTATTTTTGGTTTTTATTTGAAGAAAACACATAGAGAAGCGTATGATTTTTTTTTTTAAAGAAAACTTTTTAAAGAAATCTTTTTTAAAGAAATACAAGTTTCATAACATTTCTTGAAAAAATAAAAGCCGATTTCGTAAACAAATTATTTTTTTAAATATTCAGGTTCGTTTAAAACAAAAAAAATCTGGTGCGCGCAACACAAAACTTTCACTTACCGCTCTACCTTGAATAGAAAT